TGTGCGTGTGTGTGCGCGCGCGTGCAATGTATGTGTGTGTGTGTGTGGCATGATGCACTGAAGCACGCAGCTGATAGCTCCAACACGTTAAAGGAACGTGTTCCATACCACAGCAGAATGAACGGGCACATTTTCATAAACGCAAAGAAGTTGCATCATCATAAATGAGTGCTAAAATCTTACGTCGCCACTACCCTTATTACCAATGCACAGCCAAACTAATTACCGCAATTAACTATTTTCAACCGATATGTGGAGAGGTAGCTTATGCATGCATCACACTTCACAACGAGGTTGCACTAAACAAGAATCCACATCTACGCAGCAAAAAAAATACTAATAATAATGATATCGACCAAAACCATAGGAATTGGTGGAGAAAGTGGAAGATACACACAAAGTGTTACAGAGATAAAATTTTGACAACCAACCGATCACAATTCAAACATGCACAAAATTCCCATCTTATTGCCCCTCGCTTTTCATCACTCAGCGAAACAATCAATCACGCTTCTGAACTTCCGAAAGAAAACCAACCTTAATGACGAAACGATCACCCACACTTAATTTCCACATGCTGATCTAATGGGAGAAAAAAAGTTTGTACGAGCACTACCTTCCCTCGCACCCAAACACATCCTAGTGAGTTATGCCACCACCCCTCATTTCCCAGTTTCAACAAATCCAAAAAAAAGCGCCATGTCTGCATGAACTTCCCGTAATCCTTCCGACCATAGGTACAATAATTCTCTCAGAGCATTATGCTCCCTAATCCTACTCATCTCCTCGTTCACCAATGTCCAGACCAACCGTGCTATAATATTCCTCATTGCATAACAAATCCTGATACAAGAACACTTCGTTCTCTTAAAGTTGCCGACGAAACTCTTATGGATGCCGACGGACATGAGTCCTTTATCGATCACTTGCCAACATTTCCTACCCCATATTCATCCCCACAATCAGCGCGACATCCAACGACAACGACCAATGGATACAGCACAGGTAGATCAACATCGCCCCGTCATGCAGGATGTGCAGGAACAACCAGAGAATCACATCACAAATCACGTGGTGAAAGAAAACGATTATTCAATCGCAAATACAAAACCATAAAACATAAACTTAAAAATAAAATTAAAAAAAGAAAAATTGAGGAGGAAAAACAATGAATATCCCATAGTTTTATATCTCATGACTACATTAATTACCACATAAAGGGTACGTAGTCACTAGTCTCCATACACCAATAGATAGACTGGAGGAACATGGCATTTCTCTAAAACGTTTTTCGCCAATTTGCCACTTAATTAACTCATCAGAGGGTATTATGGCAGCACTATCTTTCAAATATGATGTTTGAGATAAGTGTTTTACTATGGGATATATACAAATAAATCGATCTTAATGCCACAAAAGGAGAAGGAGAAAAAGGGGGTGGTGAGGTGGGGGGTATTATGAATCGCAATCATCACCTCTGGGTTCGGTTCGTTGTTGGACTCGCCCACGAAGTGCGCCTCGAGCATTTCTTCAAAGGACAGAGGGTTCTCCATCAAGACGCACTGGTAGTGCAAGAGAAACGATCCTTGGTGGTATGATACTAATAGCGAATGAAAGGTCCACCAAGATTTCCCCTCTCAGATCAGGGAGAAATCTGCACGAGCTGAAGACAACTGCTATGGACAGCTTGGTAGACGAAGTGAAGATAGCAAACGGTAACCTCCTCATTACTAACAAGTAACACGATGACTTTGGAGGAACGGGCACGCGGATGAATCTCGACAAGCGATAAAGCATGAACACACCGCTCTCGAGCTTCATCACGCGGCTCAAGTGCGGGGAAGTCGAGGCTGAACATTTCAACTGCATCTCCCTAAATACTTAGTGGAATCGTCAACTCGCTATTAGTGACGCGCTTTTGTTAGTTATCGCGCTTTCTTTTCTTCACAAAAGTGCACTATGATGGGAAGGTCCAGGCCGCTCCTTTTCCATAATATGTGGGTTACATCCATTTACTATTCAGGCTAGATTCAAGGTCTTCATCGTGTGGGTCACCGATTCAAATCATGCCTATTAGTCGAATCAATTTCTCGAAAATTTGGCCAACTGATTTTTTCAAAAAAGGACCCGTCGTAGGGTATCATTCCTAATTTTGTGGATAGGCTTCCTGCTTTTATAAAAAAATATTATATATAGGGAGTCTGTGCTTCCTCTTACCAGGCTATCCTAGCCAAGATCCAAATCCATCATGCATGAACGTGTGTGTGTGTGTGTGTGTGTGTGTGTGTGTGTGTGTGTGACCCACCCCTTACCAGCTGGGAGATTTGGTTAGGGTCAGG